ACCACCTGAAATAAAAAGACTCAGCATGCAAGCGCGCGGTTAGTAAATCGAATGCAGCTTACCTGCAAACGCTAAGCCGGTTCTGCCTACGTTCTCTGCAGGACCCGTCGTCGCTTCGGGGGTGGCCCCGAGTGGTCTCGAGTGGCTCACTAGGCCTGCCTGACTCAGCACTGACGACCGCATGTGCTACAGTACCGCGCGCTTGCTGTTGATTTACTACAACCCATCGGCGTCTGTCGCTTCCGCAATTGCCGCCTCTACTCTGCATGCACGAGGGTTTTCTCTTGCACCTCGGCAACGGCCTGCCTGATCAGATCGCGCCATGCACGCCGATCAACCGCTTTTGATGCCCATGCAATCAAGACTAGAACGTGAGAGGCTCACTTTGATCATTTCCTGGTAACGTAACTTCGGTTTCCCCACATGTCGCTTCCCAATACTCAGCTGACCATATAATAGTTGTTTTGGTATGCGCTTTGAACCCATACGGTTCACATGCCCGATCCACCTCAGGTGTCTCAGCAAAGTATGAAGTCCACTGCATACATTCCACTTCGGCGCAACCCTACCATGTCCGCAACTCTGTCACACCAACCAATGCGCAGAATCCGTCGCAAGCACTGTCGTTGATTGAACCGCTCGAGATATCTCACATCTCGCCTTTACATCGTCTACGCTTCACTGCCGTATAGAAGAACGGACAGCACCATGGATTTGTACACCATCAGCTTCATGCCAACGATAAGCTGATGGTTGTTCCACACTCGGTACTCTAGCTTCCGTAATGTCGCCGCTGCCTTAGAGATGCGGATACGAAGCTCACAGTGAAGCTTCTGGTCAGCCTACATCATATATATATATATATATATATATATATATATATATATATATATATACCCAGATTCGGACCGGTGATCTTTGGTTTACGTGGCAGCCGCGTTATCGTTTCGGCCACCGACTTACAGGTAGAGATAGCCGTTGATGGGAGTGGAACTCAAGATTTTATGTTTAACGGGCGACGCTTTAATCACTTGGCACAGCGGTTAGGAATTTAATGTTTGCTTTGGATTGTCGGCCGTGTGGTTGGGTTGTGGCATGCAGTCTGTTGGGACCTTGGTCTACATCACAGTTGACTTTGGTCATTCCAATCATTAAGACCGTATCCGAATGGGGAGGTTTCGGAGTCGCTCGCTCATTACGCCACACTATACCACCACTTTCTTCCTCACTTGGAGTCATCAGGCAGATAGCGGGAGCTGGGAGTGGATCTCAAGACTGAATGGTTAGTGACTAACGGCTTGCTCATGTATTATTTGGCAGACAATGGTATCACTCTCTATTCCGGTGATCCCAATGAGATCGGCTGATATAGTGGACGGGATTTGCCGTAATTGTTCACACCGTTAGTGTTATACCACAGACCTGATGGGTTTTCACCCAGAACGTGTCACAGAAGTTCAGCACTGTCATCATGATGGTCATTTAAGATGTACATACGTTACTTCATCCTAATATTACACTGCATTGGAGCCAAACACAGACTTATATTGCAAGTATCAATCTGTCCTTGCTCAGGCGAAACTTAGTTAGTTAGTTGCTTACCCTCTCATTTTATGACTGCGTTGGCTTTGGACCGAATTAGTGCATGATTTTTATTTCCACCGCTTGCTTTGACTCTTTAAATTCACGAACTTACCGGGTTTGTCGTTCCGACTTCGCTGCTATTGTCATGCTCTTGTTTCTGTGTATATCTCACCTTGGTGATTGTATGACCAATTTTATCACATAATTTATGCTTTTGTATCTTCTTGGGCCTCGACCTCCTATCTCTGTTGCCATGTTGATTGTGGTGGTTCTATTACCAAATTTTCCTCTCATCACTTTTCTTCACTTGTAGCCCTGGCCCACCTGTTTGGCATTGCTTCATTGAGTACCATGTGCTACTCATGGACGGGTTAACACTTTGACGGTTTGTACGGTGGACATGAGTTCCCGAATCAAATGGAAATGTGTCATGTGCACCTATGAGAACTGGCCGGCTTCAGTGAAATGTACACTGTGCAGGACACCTAGATCGTCGTCGTTGATTGAGGAGGAGATGCAGCGGCTGAACGTCTTGCCTGACGAACCTGGTGACATTGTTGAGAGCCATGCATCAGTTTCCACTGAACCCGGTCATTTGATTAGGTGCTGTTCTTGTACTTATTTGAACAAGCCCACATCTTTCAAATGTGAGCAGTGTTTTCAAGTGTTCCGTGACCCACAGGAGCTTTGCCAATTGAATCCGAAATCCACTACTTCGGCATCCATAGATCATCAAGCATCTCCGTCTCCACCTGTAGCCGAGAAGTGGTCTTGTCCGCAGTGCACTTACGAAAATTGGCCCAAAAGCAAACACTGTGTCATGTGCTATGGCCCTCGTCCACATTTCCCATTGGATTCTCATTCCAATGTAGCTGAAGACATCACACGTAAGGACAAGAGCTCTATTCAGACGTCTCTCACTTCACTCAGTCAGGCGCGTATAAAACGATCAAAGCCGATTAGCCGTGATAAGCTGTGGTTAGAGGCTTGCCGAGCCGTTTTGGACGGTGAAGTGACACCAATCGAGCGCTACCTTTTAGTTGGTGGACGCCTTGATCGGAAGCTAACTAAACAGGTACTTTTGGATTCTTATTTTTGCGTTATATTTTTCTAGTACGATTATTGCTAGGGCCCACGTAGTTGGTTCTCATCACTGAATAATCCGCACTTCTGCTAGCCCTTGGTCCACTAATTTCCCTGTATGCATCCTCACTGACTGTCTCTTTTAATGATTTCCTTTGTACGTAGTTCCTTTCTTTACCTAATGGTTATCTCTCTTTTCCGTCTTGAACGATCAGGCCCAAGCTAGCATTCATCATCAGGGCATCTTCACGTGCACGTTGCCATCACTGCACGATCACAACCAAGTCACTGTCGTGTGAGGTATCCGTGAGACAGATTTTCCACTGCATAAACATTCTGTGGTATAATCAGTGGTTGCTTTCAAGAAAACATAAATACGTTGCTGTTTAGGATATCGACTACCCTTAACATAATTAGATGAAATCGTCACTACAGTCTCTAAGTTATGTTAATTGCGCCGAAAGACAGACTGGATCCTACTCAGAATAAACCTTTATCGACTTTATCTGAGAATGGATAAGTGTTGACGTTTAGTAAACTCCATTACTCATCATTCACCACAGCAGTTCAGTTCAGAAAGTTAAGCAACTATACTCCAAATACCGAAGTACAGTGGATCCAGTTGCCACCACTCACGTCGCAAGAATGTTACTAACTTACAACGGTAAAAAATGAGGTTGAACGCGAATAGACTACAAAGATAGAATCAAGGAAGTACGGTGTTAAACGAATCTGGATGGAATGAACATTATTGGCAAGGTGCAAGAAACCGAATGAAGGAACATCACTTGCTGCGCGACTGCACCATGTCTGAAAGAGACTAACAACTGGTCTGGACTACCCCGAGGCCATCCTCCACACTAGCGCACTAGTCTAACCAAGTCTAGTCAATTTCTTTGTACCTTCATGCCACTTCATCGAGTGGCGACCTCGCTGTTTCACCTACCTTGGTGCAGCGACAGTATTTACTACACGGAGGGGATCATCTAGCCAACATAAATGATTGTCCTTTAGCAAACACTCGAGTTGTGCACCAGAAGGCTTCTTGCCAAAAACCAACTGGCGGACTTCAGCATTGCTCACTCGGTGTTCCCAGCAGACGTGAGCAATACTTCGCAAGCATCGGTGCTCCAACACGGATAAGCGTTTAATGTCTTCGCCATGAAATGGGTAGGTCTCTGATCCATACAGGAACACGAGCCTCACCACAGCGTTATAAACCCTACTTTTCACTGACAAGCTGACATCCCGCTGTCTCCATAGATAGTCGAGTCTCTGGAAAGCCACACAGGCTTTGTTGATACGCTAAGTAACTTCCTCAGTGATGTGAAAACCAGAGGTAACACAGCTACCGAGGTAAGTGAACCGATGCACTACTTCTGTTGGCGGTTCGATGATAGCTCAAAACGATCCAGTACTGCAACGGTGTCATGTACTTTGAAGTTGCAAAACAAATGCCGAATCGTGCATCGCTACGCGTCAAACTTTGCATTAGTGTTTGCATAGCCAGTGCGTCAGATCCAAGAAGAACTGTCTGAAATAAAAGTGAAACTTGGCAAATCAGATTGTTCTGGTGGTATTCGAATCGTTCCCGTTACGACGAGACTGGGCCTTAACGTGGTGCGATAGTTTGCTTGCCATTGAGCTGTGCTGGGTGTTGCTTTTTGCATCTTCGGCCCATAGTCTAATGGATAAGAAGCCTGCCTTGTAATCCGAAGGCTCGGATTTGAGGCTGCGTAAGGTACCTGGCGATCCTGGTCGGATTCGTAACCCACGCGCGACTTTTAGTGGTTGCGGAGTGTCGGTACTGCGTACCGGCGTCTTTCTAATACCTTGGGCGACGCGTATTTTGTGCAGGAAGAGCGAGTAAACGGCTTGGCACCGTTATATCACGTACCGGACTCTGATGTCTGGGCAACATGTTGCACATGCTGACCCACCGACTCCCGCGTTGTGCGTTGTTTGCTCGCTCGGGGTGTGAATGGATGAAGAGGAGGGGTGGCCAAGCGATGACTTAGTGAAAACGAATGTAAGCTCTTCGACCTTGGCCTCGGTTGGAGCCTCTCGGCTCCCTGGTTGGGGTCCGAAAGACAGTAAACACGATTAGCTGCATACACTTGTTGACATGGTAAAGAGATGATTTCACTGGGGTTTGTTTTTTGAGTTTTTTTGCCCCACCCCAATAACACTCAAACTGCATGGATAATATCACACTTAATACTATATTATTTGATTTTTAAGTTTTTATATTTAATGTTTAGTATCTCGCTTTCTCATAATTTTTTCTATTGCGGCGCAATTAGCTGGTGGGTTTCTCACCTTTGGATAATGTGTAATGATGAGGATGCTGATGATTACTGATTGCTGGTATAGAAGCAGCAAGAAGAGGTATCTCTGTGTAGCTGCATCGAATATCACTCAGGTACCAAGACCCTTTATGTTGGAGTGCAGTCGATCTATTTTATATAGGCAAATTGTTTATCCAGGAATTTCTTGAATACCGACGCCGACCTTGCCTCATATATGTGCTGCGGAAGCTTGTTCCATACATTCACCACTCTCCGTTCGAAACAGAGTTGGTTGGCGACCCGCTTCGAATCTGGTACTACAAGCCTGTACCGGTGTCCTCGTGTGCTGCTTGGTGTGCGCAAATGCAGCAGTGCCTTCAATATGGGGTAATCACCGAGATGTAGTATCCGGTACGTCATGATGAGGTCAACCCGCACTCGCTCATAAAATAGGGTGTAAAGCCCTAGTCTCTTACACCGGTCTTTATACGGCATACCTCGTAAATTGGAGATCCGCCTAGTGGCCACATACTGTACCCGTTCATTTTTTTCTACCTCGCCCCGGGTGATAGGACAGTATGCGGGTGGGCCGCACTCTTGTATTGCTCGTATTATTAAGACGAAGAAGCGAGTGGCAATTTCTTCAAACCAAGTGCTGAAGCTGCATTTGAGCGCCCAAAGCATACGAAGACCGTTTCGTGTTATCCATGGACAAGGTCACAGCGTAAGAGTACACTTAGGTCTCACTCTGAATGTGCGGGATGCAGCGGTTGACCGGCCACTATGTGGGTTCGACTGAGCTCATATTTACCCAGCTTCATGAATTGCAACGACCAGGTAGATCGGGAGATTGACCTCTGCAGACCACATGGAGAGACTCTCGAGGTCCCGCTGAAGCAGCTCATTCATTGCGTGCGTAGATGATAATGCTGATGAGTTGAACTGTTCGCAGAGCTTTTCAGTTTTGTTTCAGACGTTTCCTCACCCATCGAAGTTACATTGTCTATGCCTTGATGAGCAGCGTGTAGTAAGTAGAGTTGGGAACTTTTGACGGGTGCCTTGTACGCCCGAATTGGTTTGAAATAAAGGCGAAAGTTAGTGGCTTGGGTTGTTCTGGTGGCTTCTCTCACATCGATGAGGCTTCCGTACCCTACACTACTTACTACACGCTGCCCAACAACACTGATGATGTCACCTGGATTGGTGACGCGACGTCTGCAATTAAGTTGCTGAGCTCAGCAAACAGCTCGACTCCCACAAGAGCTGGTCACCTGATAGAACTTCTACCTCGGAGGAGCCTGAATGAACGGAGATAAGTATGCTCATTTTGATGAAGATATTGAATAGAAATGGACATATTGTACGATACTATTAAGCCCCGCTTGTCATGGGGAGCGCAGGAGATAACTCCCCATAAGCATTTACTCTGTCTTGTGAGTCAATGTAGACAGAATTTACAGTGCAAAGGGGTTTCATGAAACAGACAGACAGGTAGTGTCAATTCTTGACACGATCAACAGACTCGAAGGCGGCTCTTAGGTTTAGAAAAACCATAGTCAGTCGTCTGAATGGGTGCCTGCTTTGACACTTGTCGTAGAGTAACTATGTAGTCGATGAACCACGACCAGAGCGGAACGCAGCCTAACTTCTAACGATTTGCTTCTCACGAAGACCAGTAAGTCGTCGAACAATATATGTGAGAAGTTTGGCTACAATGAAAATAAGGTGATTTTCGCACAGTTTGTGGACCATTTTGACAGTCACCTGTCTGAAGGCTCCCCCTCAGTATCCCAAATCGTGTTGTATAGAGCAGCAATCTAGTCCACAAATAATCATCTCCATCTTTCAGCAATGATGGGAGAATATCGTTGGATCCAGGAGCATTGTTTGGTTACAACTTGGCGGGCTCATGTCTAGTCTCTCTGACTAGTAGGTGTGAATCCGACTTCCCGCATCGCCATACGGAGAAGGGATGTGAGCTAACGATAGATACTCCCCGAACTACAGTCACTGGACGCATAAACGGAAGCGATGAAAAAGTACCTTGTCTACAGACGGTGCTTATTAACCCTAAATGAGGTTCGAACTCGAACCGCACACATGCGTCCGATCACTGTTATCCCGTCGAGCAGATTGCTTCCAGAATGCTTACTGAGGCCAACACTAACACCGTAAATACCTTGAGTCCTTGACTCAGTATCGCCAGAGACGCGAATAATGTAATCATTGTCAGCGGACTCGGAACCAGTTAGTCGAAGATTCGTCATGACACTGTTATCTTGTATACGTGTTTCGGAGACAGCACGTGTCAGTACCAAAAGAGTGAACAGTAAGAGTTAATGCTGCCTGTTGACCGATCTGACTTAGAGTGCAACGTTACAATGATCAATGTGAATTGAGACCTTTAGTTTGAGGAACGAGTTATATGTATCGATGGCAACAGCTGTGAGATCAGTGGCAGTCTCTTGCTAAATAGACAGTAAATAAAGGAGTTGAGAGGGAAGAGAAAAACAGGAAGACCTATAAGTGGTAGTAATATCCACGGAGTCGATAGGATACATGATACTCTCCGACTGCCCACTCCGAGAGAGGGGTTTTATTCGAGACTTCCTACCAATCAATCAATCAGTCAATCAACAGCAGTACATCAGCCATTTGAACTGATGCTTCGCTGCCATACAACCATGACCTATGAAATAAAGAA